ACGCCGGGCGCCGCTCGCCCCCGGCCCCTGCGCGCAGACACACTTTCTATTTTATAACACTATATTAACTTTACTGACTCGATGCGAGATGTTATCATTTTTGAGATATAAATTTACCTATTCGTTAGATATATGTATTATTACATTTATAGCGTCGTTTGTAACTCTCCTACTGGCTGCTGTGACTTGCATTTTTGATGTTTATTGAATTGTCGGATGTGTTGTTTTCACTTCGCTATAGGTTGTGCGCCGGGCGGGCCGGGGGCGGGTGCGGGTACGAAAAGAGATTACTTCAATATGCTTAAAATCTTTTAGAAACTTCCAATTTTACCGTCATGTTCATGACAAAGGCCGGGTGCGGCGCGTACATCGCCTCCGTCGACCGACTTACTTTAAATCTATTCAAAATCACTTTGTATTTCAGATATATCATATGTATTTTCTTAATCTCTTGTAAGATATAGATAGATATAAGTGTGTGCACGTTTGTCGGAACCGCCGCGTGTCGACAGTGCAGGGGCGCGGCGGCGCGGTGGCGCGGCGGGGCGGGGGCGGCGGCCTCCCGCGCTCACACACACAGTTGTCTAACATGGTATCCCCCTCCCCACCGCGTCTGCGGTTTTTGTTAGCTCTTGTATACTTAGTTCTGAAATGCAATAATATTTAAGTATGTACCGATGTTAAAATACTTCTACGGTTTAGGCAAAAGTCTGAAAGTTAAAATAAATTTTTGCTTTTCAATAAAAGTGTTTCACTTTTAGTACTTAGCAGTCATTTCCGCATATGATTTATTTTAATACAATATTAAGTAAATAGATGAATGCGAGATGGTGCAGCAGCCGCCCAGCACGTCGCCTAACATATATTATTAAGCCGCGCTTCTACTATGCGTTATGTTGCCCAAAAGTTACAACTGAGCATAAAACTTGTTTAACATCGTTGCATGTCGTGAATGCATGTACTGACAAAGCCGCGGGTCATTTTTTACTAGCTTTCGCCCGCGTGGAATGTAAAAAAAAACAAAGTGAGTAGCCAATGTGTTCTTCCAGAGTATCCTCCACGGCTATGCCAAATTTCATCGAGATCCGTTCAGCCGTTTAGGCTACAAACTCGTAACATCCATCCATATAAACATTAGCATTTATAAGTCAGAACTAGCGCTCGGTCACGATGCCACTAGACTTAAATGAAGATGTGTTCTAAGCTAGCGCGTACTATGCTAGCTTGGTAAGTACCGGTTCGCAGTGCATTTGAAGATGGCCATGGTGCAACCGGACAGGGACACTGCGCACAAAAAACGATGTCGCAAATAGTTTCCTTCTAATCCGCGGCACTTCTACGGTGAAAGGGCGAAGACTGGCGCATCT